AAATTTTTTAAAAATTCAATTAAAATTTAGAAGGATCGGACACTTCCCAGACCTCATCATTTTTACCTCCAGTAATCCACAATTTCTCCTTGATGGTAAAAAAGTAAGGTCCAGAGTAGATCACTTCCCCTTTTTGGTTCTGTCATCTTATTTTGAAGGATAAACTTATGAAGAGGAGTCAAGAAATTGTTACTTGCTGTGGATTTGGTGAGAAAGAGATTTGGCAAATATCTGGAACATCAAGGTCCTTCCTCACTATTATATAACATTCCCTCATTTCTTGTGTTCCTCAAAACTCTCATCTAGTTCTTCTTTCTGTCCAGGTGGTCTGTAGCTCACTTGATAACAATATCATTTGGGCTTCACCAAGATTCTCCAGGGCAGCTAGGTGGTGCAGTGGATAGCACACCAGTCCTAAAGTCAGGAGGACCTGAGTTCAAATGTGGCCTCAGAACAAACCTTGACACTTACCAGCTGTATGACCCTGGGCAAGTCATTTAATCCCAATTGCCTAAAAATGTCAAAAAAAGAGAGATTTTCTTGCCCCCACCGCCCTCCCTCTTTGGTTGTTAGATATTCTCTCAGGGTGGATGATCTCATTACACAACATTCCTTCATAAGTAAGTAATGAATTCCTCCTCTGGTTTTTGCTTTCAATTTTAGAAATAGAGCCTTGGTTTCTGCTACTGACACCTTTATTTTCATTTTTATGCTTGAATTTTCTGCACTTTTGTCCAAGAAGAGATAGTCTGGAGGAAACCCACTTGTCACTGTGCTTTACTGTTGGCTAGGACGAGTCTGCCTTCATCAGGACTTTTATTTGGAGTCCAGAGGGGCCGGCTGTTCCCATACTTTGTGTCCGCTATGGGGTGTGCACATATTGCTGAGCATGGAGTGGCAGCCTGTTTGGACTGATTGATTGGATGGTGGGTTAGAAGGTGGGGTGAGAACAATTAATGGAAATCCGGGACTCAGACTTCAGAATTGATTTGTGCTTGGCGTGTATTGACTGGGTGGTTACAGTGTCAACCCCAAAGAGTGTGGCTTGGCATTCCGAAAGAGAGGTACTTGAAGTGTGCATGTGTGTGTGCGTGTAAGCATGTGTGCATGTGCATTATGGGCATGTGGGTGCACACATGTGTGCATGCGTGTGTATGCATTTGTGTATGTGTGTGTGCATGCACATATATAGGGGATAAAGGGAGTTTAAGGCAAAGGACCCTGGATTAGGCGGTAGAGAACCCGGCTTCAGATCTGGGCTCTGCTGGCAACTTAATCTGTGCCTTTGAGTTAAAGTTCTTTTTCTCTCTTTGGACCTCAGTTTCCTCATCTCTAAAATGTCAGCACAGTACTAGAAGGGTATGTGAGTTCCCTTCTGGCTCTGCATCTTTGGGTCCTGCAGCTGTCTAGGACTCAGGCCCCTAAAACAAGGTCACTTGTTCCATGAACTGTAAGCTCTTTGAGGGCAGGGATTGTCTTTTCTTTGCCTTTGAATTTTTAACCCTAGCACACGTGGTAGCTGGCACCTAGCAGGTGCTTAATAAATGTTCACTGATCGGTTGTTCCAAAAATTAACTGCAGCTTTCTGTTTCTTTTTTCTGCCGTCCCATGTCCCATGTCCCGTGGGGCCATTGTCTTTGCTCTGGAGGGTCCTTCTAACAGGTCAGAAAGGGCCTGGTAGGAGAGTGGAGGCCAGGGAGTGGCTGGGGGTTGTGGGTTCCATTTTTACTTACAGTTAGACGTCTTTTGAGCTCTACAGAGTGCTTTTCCTACCATAAGCCTGGGAGAGAGGGAGAACACAAGGCCCATTATTGTATAGGTGGGGACAGGCTCAGATATGTTGGTGAAGGTCACACAGTTGGCCAGTGTCATTGCCTTGACTTGGAGTCTGGATCTGGGTTCAAAGCCCTAGAATGGAATTACTAGCCCTGTGACCCTGGGTGAGGTTTCCAACTCCCTGCAGTTAGCAATATTGTTCTATGTACCAAGCACTGTAATAGGCACCTGAGAATACAAAGACTAAGATGAACCAGCCCCTGCCCTAACGAGCTTCAATTCCATCAGGAGATGGAATCAGCCCAGATCAGCACCTCTGGAGGTTTAAGGAGCACGTGGTGATGTGGGGCAGAGGATGGGGGAGTTATTGTAGCTGGGGGATACAGGCCAGGAAGGGAAGTTTCTTTATGATTAAAATGAAAGATTTAGATCATGGATATGTGCAGTAACCCCAGCTCAGAATCCTAAGATTCCATACAGTTTTAGCTTCAGAGTGCTACCAGCTTGTGTCCCCTCGAAGACGTAAGTACAGAAAAGGAAGCAGGTGCAAGGTGCTGGGATATTTTGAAAAATTGTCAGTCCCCCAACCGTCACCCCACAACTCTCATAAAGCATTTCAGAAATCAGGCTTAAAGTGGAACCACTTTAGCACAAAGAGTTGGTCTGAGGTTTAAATTCGTGCTAAGGTGTACATGACTAACAGTTATTTATCAATGTGCCAGGCATTGGAGATATTGCATCAGAAAGCATATAATCCCTGCCTTCAAGGAGCTTACATTTGTGTGTGTGTGTGTGTGTGTGTGTGTTGGGGGGGAAGTGGTCGGGTAAATAGGTACATTGTGATTTTGAGAGGAATGAAATGGGAAACTGCTTATCAGCTGCTTACTATGTGCCGAGCGCGACAGCTAGTGCTGGGAATACTGAGAGGAAGGTGAGGCTGATGCCTGGGGGCTGGGGGAGCAGTCGGGATATCTAAGGCAGCACCCAGCTGTACCCCAGGCTCTTCCAGGAGGGGGCAGAGGCAGCTGGCCATAGGCACCTAAATGAAGAGTGGGCGGAAGGACCCTGGGGGCAGGTGCACAAAGGGAGGTGAGGCACCGGGAGAAGCAGGTCTTAGCTCTGGCTTGAGCTGTCCAAGTATGCAGCTCCTGAGAGGAGAGTGTTCTGTCTGCTCTGGTCCCGTCTTATTGTCATTTAATAATTAATAAAATGCTAGCTGGACAGTTCGCAAAAGCAACAAATGAAAAATAAAAGCCCGAGCTTCTGGATAAATTAATAATCACAGTATTTTTTTTTCCCACCAGCTGTGCTCTATTTGAAGGGGGGCTGGAAAGGTGGGGGGAGGGTGTGTGGGCAGGCAGGGACTGTTCTTTCCGAAAGATGGCCCTAAATATGACATTGACAGGGCAGGGGAAGGACAGATTTGACTTCAGTTCAACCCAACAAACCTTTGATAAAAACCTACTGTGTGCAAGGCCCTGTGCCAGGCACTAGGGAGGCAAAGAGGAGATAGTAATCTAGTCAGTGCCCTCAAGGAGCTTACAGTCTAGTGGAGCTGCCTGGCTAAGACTTGGATCCCTTCAATTTCAGTTTACGGTAAGGATCACTTGAATTCCCAAGCAGCCTCCTTCTGACCTAGATGATTGGGACCCAATCTCCCTGTCCTGGCATTGGCTGTTTGCTGAAATTTGGTGGGTGGGTGAATGGCTGTTTTCTGTCTGCTGTCATAAATCTGTCGAAGCAGCTGAAGAGTGGTCCAGCCTCTTGGATCAATGGCGGGAAGTTGACTATTGCCTTTGATCGCTTCTGAGATGAAACATTTATGTATCAGTTTGAAACATTTTGCTCATTTAATGATGAATTTGGCAAATATCAACAGAGGCACCTATTTCCTTAGGAAAAAGATGGTAGAGAATACCGTGAATCTGTTACTTATGGCTTGAAAAAATTCTAAGTCATTCCAATTCCATCTTCTTTCTATTTAATTCAAACTAAACAAATTGAGATATCTCACTGACAGCTTAGAGTCCACAGGGTCTTTCTGTGGGTTCACATGCAGGGAGAGGAGGAGGAGAATTCGGCAGGGGCCTCTCAAGCCTATTGATTTCTAACAGAGGCAAACATGCAATGGTTTAAGGGCCCTAACCTACAGAACCAGGGCACGGAAATAGGCAGAAATGTGCCCCACCTCGGAACTAATAAATAAACCATCCCAGGGAGAACTGAGAAGATGAAAGGGCGGCTCTAGGGAACCAGAGCACTGGGCCAGGAGTGAGGAAGACCTGAATCTAAATACAGCTTCAGACAGACTAGCTGTGGGATCCTGGGCAAGTCACCTCTGTCTGCCTCAGTTTTCTCATCTGAAAAATAGGAATCATAAAAGCACCTACCTCCCGCGCTTGTTGTGAGGATTGAATGGGAGAACAGCTGTAGAGTGCTTAACACAATGACTGGCACATTGTTAGGGCTGTATAAATGTTAAGGAAGATGATGATGAAAGGCACGCATACTCATATGAAATGAAGGAGAGAGTGAAAAGAACATTCACTGGTTGTGGTCAGGAGCTCCGGGTTCGAGTCCTGTCTCTGACCCTTACTAATCAATCAACTGGCCATTCAGCATTTATTAATCACCTGGCACGGTGCTAGCAGCTGGGTATACAAAGGCAAAAGCTGAACCAGCTGGGTTCAGTAGCTGACCCTTACTTACCTCATCTGTGTAATGGAGATAATTCTTGTATGGTGACTCAGAATATGACAGCACTATTATTCCTTGTGTGAGCTTGGGCAAGCCAGTTTCAATTTGCCTTAATAAGCATTTATTATTGTATATATTATAATAAGCATTTAATATTATATTATATATATTATGTATTTATAATAAGCATTTATTAAGTGCCTACTATATGCCGGATCCAGTGCTAGATACTGGGACATGAAGATAGTCTGCAGCCCTTTCCCAGTGTTACTCTGCCTTGGGGGAGAGCTGATTAGCCTGAGCTGGGCTCCCTGTGGAGTCCCTTGTGTTTCCTCCCATCTTCTGATGGGAAGGTCTTCCTACCAGGAGGAAAGACCATCTCACTCTCTTCTGAGTGCTCGTTGGCCCCAGGGATTCCTTTCATTATTGAGAAGAATCAGGGCAGGCAGCGAAACAGGGAAGCAGCCAGGCTGTGGCTTCCTCCCTGGAGATTCAGCGACCTTCTTCTCTAATTGTTTCCTCCTCAGGTGAGCAGGATTTCCCTTCAGCTTCCTTGGCCTGTAGATTCCCAGGACCAGTGTCTCCTTCTGTTCCATCTGCCAAGCGGATCCCTCCCATGAGCCACCAAGTCCAGTGGGGTCAGGTGTACGGCACAGATAAGTCAGCGATGGAAATTCCACGGGAGAGAATGAGGGGAGCCTGTGTGACTTCTTCTGGGTGTGGGTAAGAACTCTGTCTGTCTCTTGGTTCAGTTCTGGGGGGGAAGCAAAGGCCTTCAGGAGGCTGGCTGCCAAGAATTCTGTAATGGTGAAGAATGTTAGAGTCTGGGGCAAAGGAAGAAGAGGAGGAAGAAGATGACCTGATGGGCATAATAAAAAGCTCATGTTTCTGCAGTGCTTTGAGGTTTAGAAAGCATTTTACTAGTGTCCAAGGCTGTTAGCAGTATGATGAGGAGTTTTCAGTGAAGTGGGTGGGGCATCCAGTACAAACAGCTGGAGGTGGAGAATGAAGAGTGACCCCCTAGAGAGTAAATGGCCCATCCTTGGCCACACAGCAGGAAGCTCGAGCACAGTTAGAATGCAAGCCTTATGAGGGCAGGAACTGATTGATTTTTGCCTTTGCTTGGCACATAGCAGGCACTGAATAAATGCTCATTAAGTGGTGGATTGATTTAAGTGTCAAGATGGGATTTAAATATCCCTCGAAAGAGAGATTGAGAAGCAGCATGGTCCAGTGGAGAGCTGGACTTTGATTCAGGAAAACCTGAGTTCAAATCCTGCCTCAGACCCTTCCTATCTGTGTGACTGTGGGCAAGTCACTGAAATTTACTGGGCTTAAGTTCCTCATCTGTGAAATGAGGAGTAAAATAGGTGGAACAGCAGATAGAGTGCTGGACCTGGCACTTCTTAGGAAGACCTGGGTTTGAATCCTGCCTCAGACCCTCACTAGCTGTTGCTTAGCCTTGATCAGTTTCAGTTTCCTCATCTTTTGGATTCTGAAACATCCCTCACCTTGTCTCCATTCACACCATAACCACCCTAGTTCAAGCCTTCGTTGGCTCTGGTTGGGATTATTCTAACAGTCACCTGACTGCTTCTCTGCCTGCAGGGTCTGCCTTCAAGCACAGACCTGGCCGTGTCACTCCTCTGCTCAAATCCTCAAATGAGACACCTCTGTAAAACATTTGGCACAGTGCCTGGTACATATTAGGTGCCTAATAAGTGCTTATTCTGCCCTGCTCAAGACATTTTAGTGACTTTCTATTGCCTCTAGGATAACATGCAGACTTTTCCATTGGGCATTTAAATTTCTTCATGGTCTGTCTCCAGATTGAGAGAAATTAATATTATGCTATTATATTAATAACTATTAATTTGTTATCCACCCTTTTCTTCCTATTTTTGTTAAGACCCCACTCTCAGAATTTCCATTCATCACAAGATGATTTTTCTGGGCTGATTTCACGTTATCACCCCTCCCATGTGCTGTAGCCGTCTCCCATTCATCCCCAGCTGCTTCTGACTGTCCTGACTTTACCACCTTGTCTTAGCTGACTTCTCACTCTATAACATCCCTCTCCCTTTCAGCCCCCTTCTCCCATTGGCAAATCTTTCCTGGAACCCCCATTTTGGGAGGGGCCCCAACCCATCATTCTTCATTTCTTTTTGCTTCTGACTTTCCAGACTTTCCCACCATTCTGATTTGTGGGTACCTTCTGCCCTCTCTTTTTTTTATGTATTGTCTTTCCCCATTAGAATGCCACATACTTGGGGAAGAGACTATCTTTCTTCTTGCCTTCATCAGCACTTAGCATAGTGCCTGGCATATAGTGAGAGCATAATAAGTGCACGTTGACTTGCTGACTTTGATGCCCACAGAAGGCAAAGAATGCAAATGAGAAAGTGTAATTCAGCGATGGCAAACAGTGGTGATTACAAGGATCCGCCTGTCATCGTTGAGGATGGGTTGTGCCAGCATAACCTCATTTCCTTTTCAGAAAGGATTATTAAACTAGCTGCTGAGAGAATGTTTCAATGGAACCTATTTGGATATTAGCAAAGCTTTTGGTAAAATATCTCCTGATATTCTTGCGGAGAAGATTGAGAGATATGAATTAGGAGAGAATACAGTTGAAGTAATTTAGACCTGGCTGGATGACCCAACTCAAAGAATAATTGTGGATGACTCCATGTCAATGGAAAAGAGTGCCCCAGAGTTCTGTGCCTCATCCTGTGCTATTTAATATTCAGTGAATGACTTAGAGAAACACACAGATTGAATGTCTGTTCATCAAATGTGCCAATGACACCAATCTGGGAGGAGGAGCTAAGATATCAGATGACAGAGTCAGGATTCAAAAGGGTCTTGACAGACTTTAGCATTAGGATGAATTGGATAAGATGACATTCAATAGAAAGAAAAGCAAAGTCTTGCAGGTAGGCACAAAACTCAATTCCATCAATATCAGATTGGGGAGGCCTGGATAGAGACCAGTTGTTCAGAAAAAGGATGAGTCAGCAGTGTGATGTAGGTGCCAAGTAAGCTAATGCCATATTGACCTGTGGTAATTCAAGAATAGGGGCCGTGGCTTTCAAGAATAGGGACAGGATGGTCCCCTCTCCTCTGCCCTCATCAGGCCTCAGCTGGAGTATTGCATTCAGTTCTGAGTACCATAGTTTAAGAAAGGCATTGATAAGTTAGAGAGTGCTCAGAGGAGGGCAATCAGGATAGTAAAGGGCCTTGGTCCAGGCTATATGGGGATTGGCTGAAAGAACTAGAGATACATTGAGCTTGGAGAACTGTTACTGTAGAGGGCACCCTATTCTCTCCCATCCTCAGGCTCACAATCTAGAAGATGTCCTGGATTCTTCATTCTCCTTCACCTTGCCCCCCATCCAATATGGTGCCAAGGCATCTCTTGTCCATTTCACCCCCCCCATAGTATCTCTGTCAATTTCATCACTGTAGCATCTCTTGTCCATTTCACCTCCCCAGCATCTCTGTGAATTCCCATCTTCCATTCAGCCACCAAACTGCTTTTCCTAAAATACCAGTCCAACCGTGTCACTCTCCTACCGGGTAAACTCCAAGGGCTCTCTATTGTCTCTGGGAGGAAATATAAAGTGCTCTACTTTGGCATTCAAAGCCCTTCCTAAAGCTGCTACCTTTCCAGGCTTCTTACACCTTACTCCTGGACTTTGAGTCTTTGAACCAGTGACAATGGCCTCCTGGCTGTGCCATGAAGAAGATGCCCCATATCTTAGCTCTGGGTGTTTCCTCTGGCTGTCCTCCATGCCTGGAAGTCCCTCCCTCCCACTCTCTGCCTCCTGGCTTCCCTGGCTTCCTTCAAGTCCCCACTAAAATTTCTTCTTCTACAGGAAGTTTCCCCCAATCCCCCTTAATTCCAGTGCCTTCTCTTTGCTGATTATTTCTTATTTATTCTGTACATAGTTGGTTATTTGTGGTGTCCTCCATTAGTTTGTGAGCTTCTAAGGAAAGGGACTATCTTTTGCCTTTCTTTGTATGCCTAGTGCTGTGCACAGTGCCTGGCACATATTAGGTACTTAATAATGTTTGTTGACTGACTGCCTGAGGCATGCTGGCTATCTTTGAATATGTAAAGGCCTGCCATACGAGGAAGGATTGGGCTTGTTCTGATTGGCCCCAAAGGATAGGATCAGGAGCAGTGGAGGAAGGTACAAAGAAGTCTATGTTGGTTGGCTGGAGGTTAGGGGAAACTCCCTAAGAATTAGAGACATCCTCAAGTGAGCAGGACTGCCTGGGAAGGTGCTGGGCTCTTCCTCCTTGAAGATCTACAAGATGGGAATGGACAGCTATTTGCTGGTATGTGCTAGTAGGAATTTCTTTCAAATGGTCAATAAGGTCCCTTTCAACTCTCATGTTATGTGAATCTGTAAAATGATGATAATAATATTTGTATTACCCACCACAGAGGACTGTCCCGAGGATAAAATGGAAAAAAAAACCACATGGATAGCAGTTAGTTCATCTTAAAGCACCATATAAACTGTCAGTCATTATTTTTGTTATGAATTTGTATGGAATTTCCCTTCCAAGGAGATTTGGAGCTATGGGATAATATAGCTAGAGTCTAGGGACCATCCCTGGCTGGGAGAAGAAGATACCTAGCTAAAAATAGAAAGCAAAGAAGGAAAGGAAGTCTCTGGAAAAGGTCAAGCAGCCCATTAGCTGGTACAACAGATAATATGTGATCTGCAGCCTTCGGGACACGGGCACCGTGGACAGCACCTTTAGGCTGATGGCAGGCTGATATGTCCCTGTTTATTCTTGGAAACAGGGAGTTTCCTCTCAAGAAGGATGAGCCCAAAATGATGTTTTCAAGGCATATCCCTTCTACCCTTTGCAGGAGAATAATCCCTGGTGTGATGGGTGGTTGTGGGGCTCCCAGGAACATGGAGGGAGAAGACATTCTCTTCTGGGCTTGGCTAGGTACTGTCAGAGTGGGTATAATACTGATGATGATGGCAGCTGCCATTTCAAGATTATGAAATGCTTTTCTAATCAATCCCATTAGTTAGAGATAGTGGGGTATAGGAGATCTGAAGACGCTTGCTCCAAATCCTACCTTTAGCATGTCTTCTTGGGTGAGTCACTTTCATTCTCTGGGCCTCAGTTTTTCCATCCATAGAATGAGGAAGTTTGACCTGTCCAGTAGTTTTAAAGTAAAATTGTACATTTGTCCAAGAGGCAGCCCAGAGCCGGAAGGCCTGGAATCTCCTTAGATCCTGGTACTAGCAATGAGACCCCAGCAAGTCATTTCCTTTCTGAGCCAGAGTTTCCTTAATTGTAAAATGAGGATAATCATTCCCTACTGACCTACCTCAGGGGGATGTTGTTAGGATTGGTAACAGGACCCTGAGAGGTTCAAGTGAGATATGAGGAAGCAGGTGGTGAGAAGGTCAGATCCAGATTTGAAAGCTGTGACCATGGGCAAGTCTCTTAATGACTGGGAGCCCTAGCTTTCTCATCTGCAAAATGGGGATAATATAGCACCCTCTTCATGGGGTTATCATGAATTCCAAATGAAATAGTATAAAGAGCTTTATGATTGTTAACTATGATTATGATTATGGTTGTTATTAGATTTGGGAGGGGACAGGATGTAGTGAGAAGATGAGGATTTGCAAAGGCAGGGAGACCAGGCAAGCAGTGAATCATTTCTGTCTTTGTGTCTTAGTTCCTGCATCTGTTTGAGAGAGTAGGAATCAATGATCTCAAAGATGCCTTCCAGCTCTATGGTCTGATGATTGAGTGACATACCAGCTGGAGTTAGGAACTCTGCAGAGCTCTATGAGGCAGGCTGCATGCCACTGAGTGTTTACAGAGAACATCTCAAGCTGGGATAATCCTGGGGAAAGGGCAGCGTGGCTCCTTCCTAACTAGCAGTCTAGGTGGGAAGACAAGATTCCCACCCATGACATGATAAAGGAACAATTAAGCAGAATTGGCTGGTACAGATGCTGAGGACTCTGGGAAATCAGAAAGGGGAGGGGGGATCCTTGGACCAAATCCATCAAGATACATTTCTTAAGCACCTACTATGTGCCCGGCACTGTACTAGGTGCTAGAGATGCAAATTCTAAAGTGAGACAGACCTTCCCCCAAAGGGCTTACATTCTGTCAGGTAAGCCCGCATGAGTACTCATATAAGCAGATATAATGTGTGTGTGTGTGTGTGTGTGTATGTGTGTGTATACATGTTATATACATATATGTATATACATATACATATACATAGATGTATAAGTAGAGATCATTTGGTGGGGGAAGACACTGACAACTTGGGAGGAGTTGTAGAAGTAATGGAAGGATTCATGGAGTGAGTAAAACTTGAGCTGGCCAGGGCTTAGGAAAGCAGAGAGAGGCAGCAAGGGCAACCCCCTTGGCCCCTCGGGGAGAACAGAGGGGAAAACCTGGGTGGTTTAATTTCAGTTTCACAGGTTGCATTGTATGACCTATGTGTTCTGTGTTCTAAGTGCAGCTGGACATTCTATGTTCTACGGTGCTTTTAAACATGGACATCTCGGTTCTATGCACTAAGGTCTCCCCAAGCTCTGATGTTCTAGGTTCTGTGCTGTCAGTTCCAGACCAGCCCTGATACTCTCTCTTTCGAAGTCCCTCCCAGTTTGAACATTCTGCATTCTCTATTCTAGTTTCCTTCCAACCTTGATCATTTGTCAGCCCATGACTCAGTGAAGGGTTTGAGTTATACCTTATGAGCATGGAAATCCTTCTGGATTTGCCTCTGGAGTAGTGAATGTCCTAACTCCATTATCCCAGATTTCATAAATGTGTGTGTGTGTGTGTGTGTGTGTGTGTGTGTGTATGTGTGTGTGTGCGCACACGCTTGAGTGTCCCTCCCTCATCTACAGCTAATCTCTCTTTCCCATTAGAAATGGGCTTCATGACACAATTCCTCCCCTGGTGGCCATCCTTCTGATGGTCCAAACTCATCCAAACATCCTCACTGTCTTGGTCACAGCACTCTATGGTCATGGCCTTCAAGAACCTCTGTCTTCATAAAAGACACCAGGAAAGGATTTCTTATGCCCACATGTTACAAAAATTTAAAAAGTCTTTGCCTAAAACTGTGGTCCTTTTGGTAGATTTTGGAGAGTTAAAAAAATTGAAATCATTAGGCCTAACAATAGGAAAAAGGGTTTGACAGAAGTAATATCCTGGTCTGCTTTTCTAAAACAGAGTTTAGGGATGGGGGACAGGCAGGCTTGCCAGCGTGGGTTCCTGTGTTCTCAAACATTGGCCCATGGCTTCAGAGCAAGGCTGGTTTTAATTTCCTCCTAGCAGACAGGAGCGCCTGTCTTTGTGGTTTCATTTCCTGCTGGGTTTTTCATTTATGCCTCCTTCTGGGGAGGGTTCAACGTATTTTGACAGGGCTTTAATGGGATGGAGCGTCCTAACCTCATCTTGTTCTCCTTCCAGATACCTCATCATCTCCCTTGTCAGTCTCATGCGTCAGCAGCCAGCCTGCAGCATTCGCCATGGTTTTTGGTGAGTTTTTCCACAGCCCTGGACAAGACGAGGAACTGGTTAACCTGAACGTTGGGGGCTTCAGGCAGTCTGTTGGCCAGAGCACCCTCCTACGTTTTCCTCATACCAGACTAGGGCGCTTACTCACCTGCCACTCCGAGGAGGCCATCCTGGAGCTCTGTGATGACTACAGTGTGGCTGAGAAGGAGTATTACTTTGACCGAAACCCCTCCTTGTTCCGCTACGTCTTGAATTTTTACTATACGGGCAAGCTTCACGTCATGGAGGAGCTCTGCGTGTTCTCCTTCTGCCAGGAGATTGAGTACTGGGGCATTAATGAGCTCTTCCTCGACTCCTGCTGCAGTAACTGGTACCAGGAACGAAAAGATGATAATCCCACCAAGGACTGGGACCAGAAGAGCAACGACGTGAGTACGGACTCTTCCTCGAAGAGTCGTCCATCTTTGAGAAGGAGCTGGAGAAGTTCGACATGATGC